CCGTTGTCCTGGTGTGCTAGAGTGCTCGCAGAGGAAATGTCTTTGCTTATTCATTGGCTGTAGTCTGCTGTGGCCCAGTCAATCACCGACTCAGATACATTTCACCGCTGACCTGTTGATTATTAACTTGAGCCTGTCTTACCCCACTAACATTCTGCTCTCTGCTTCATCTTGTAGGCCATCTGGCTGCTGTGCACAGGAGCAAGAGAAGCTGCTTTCAGGAACATCAAGACGATTGCAGAGTGCCTGGCTGATGAGTTGATCAATGCAGCTAAGGTAACAATTAATTCACTTACTGATGACTTTAAATATTGTATTACAGCCTCCCAGTGCTTATATTGTAATTACCTTGTCAGGGGTCAGAGCTGAAGCATAAGTAGACCTTTCGGTACAGAAGAGTAAACACGGGTGGTGTAATGGATAAACTCATGAATTACTGGGACACTTCCAGAGACGGATGTTTTGTTGCTGTGAATTATCTGATGTGGCTGTGTATTAAACTCAACTTTCTCTGTCTTCCAGGGTTCCTCTAACTCTTACGCCATCAAGAAGAAGGACGAGTTGGAGAGAGTTGCCAAGTCCAACCGTTAAACATGTTTGCTGTCTAACAAAACAAATAAATGTGGAGGAATTTCTGTTGGAGTTGCAGTCTTGTTGCTGTTTTTTTTATATACTTTATTTTTCAAATAACTTTTTTTTTTTAACAGACAGTAACTAAACAAAATACAAGACACACAGTAACAAGCATAAAACAATATTGTGAACACCAGTGATTGTGTGGATGAGAGCACAGTGTGGAACTATATGGTAAGAATATTGTTTTCAGAAACAAAGCAGGTTATCGCCTCTTGCTGTGAGATGCGTGTCCCATTTTTCCCAGAGAGCATCATATTGATCTTTTTGGAGTGTCAAACTGAAAGTCATGTGTTCCATACACTGGATGTTTGTGATTATTGCTGTCCATTGGTCAATAGTAGGAGGTTCCCTGCAGAACCATCACCTTGTTATAGCCTTTTTGCTCGCTGCCATAAAGATTTTTAGGAGATATCGGTCACTTTTAGGTAAGCTGAGGTCAATGTCCCCCAAGTAAAATGACATACAAGTGAATTTGGTATCATAACAAGGACTTCCCTGACAGCACTGTGAACAGAAGGGTTTAAGAATGGGGCATCCCCAGAATACTTGTGTATGATCTGCTTCACAATGTCCACATCCTCTCCAGCATTTGGGTTGTGACCCAGTCTGTCTGAACTTTTGTTTTGGAGTTATTTTTCCATGAGAAGTCCCTCCATGTTTGTGAAGCAGTAGTTGTGATTTGTGTGTTAATTTGTTTGTCCATTTCTCAGGGGTAATTATAGTCCCTAATTCTTTTTTCCATTTTGCCTTTACATAAGTTGTTGACTAGCCTCTTAATTCGACTATGTACCTGTATAACTCTCCGATAATCTTTCTGGACAATCTTGTATTGTAGGCCCTGATGAACATTTGTGTTATACCCGATAGGTTTCTTGGTAAGAGTCCTTCAACATTTTTATCACAATAGTGACGGAGTTGGAGATACCTGTAAAAATCCTGTTGAGCAAAGCCATATCTGTCTGACATGGTTTTAAAATCTGAAAGTTCCCTGTTATTGATCACCAGGAACAATGCTGTGAGACCTTGTCTCTGCCACTGGGTGAACCCTCCACCCTCCACAGCAGGCTTAAAGTCTGGGTCATATATTGGCCACATTAAGATTCTGATTTCTTTCTGGATGTTAAGTTGTTTTACTATACTGGAACAGATGTCTATAGAAAACCTAACCCACTGGCTCTGAATATTGTATTGTTTGGCAGTTAGTGAATATCCTAGCAGGCTTTGCAGAGGCCTATCTAGCAGTGAGAGCTCCATGGCTTTCCATTTTGAAANCCAGATGGCATCAGCTCAAGGCTCCTCAAGTCCTGCGCTAGGCAACTGTGCGGGATTGTGGAGCACTTGTTCAACCTGAGCCTGAGGCTGCAAAAGGTGCCACTGCTGTGAAAGACATCCTGCGTGGTACCGGTGCCCAAGTCATCTCGGCCCAGTGACTTCAATCACTATCGACCGGTGGCCCTGACATCCCACCTGGCAAAGACCCTGGAGAGGCTGGTCCTCCACCACCTGCGCTCCTGGTGAGCTCTTCGGCAGACCCACTGCAGTTTGCCAACCAGTCGAGCATTGGAGTTGAGGACGCCGTCATCTTCCTCACACAGAGATCCCTGTCTCACCTGGAGAGGCCTGGAAGCACTGTGATAATCATGTTCTATGACTTCTCCAGCGCTTTCAACATCATCCAACCAGAACTCCTGAGGGACAAACTGGAGCACACAGGAGTGTGCCACCAGCTGACATCATGGCTCCTGGACGTCCTCACCAACAGGCCACAGTTTGTGAGGACACAAGGCTGTGTGTCTGAGACGGTGATCTGCAGCACAGGGGCGCCTCAAGGGACTGTTCTGGCTCCTCTCCTGTTCACCATTTACACAGCTGACTTCACCCACTACTCATCAAACTGCCACCTGCAAAAGTTCTCGGATGACTCTGCCATCGTCGGTCTCATCAACAATGGAGACGAGAAGGAGTACCGAGAACTAAACCAGAACTTTGTGGCCTGGTGCCAGCAAAACGGCCTCCGGATTAATGCCGGAAGAACCAAAGAACTGGTGGTTGACTTTCGCCGGCACAAAATCACCCCTCCCTCGCCGGTGAACATCCAGGGAATGGACATTGAGATAGTGGACTCTTACCTGGGTGTTCACCTGAGCAAAAACCTGGACTGGACCGTTAACACTCGGGCTCTGTACAAAAAAGGTCAGAGCAGACTCCACCTGCTGCGCAGACTGAGGTCCTTCGGGGTGCGACACCTGCACGTAAACTTTTGCATATCAAGGTAAGACAGCATTATCTTTATATCCTTTCATAAGCTAGGCATATGAAACCGTAATTATTACAAGAAAAAAACAAACAAGCAAACAGNGTGCCATATGGATTTGGTATACAGCATATGATTACACTGGTCAACATCCATTTTGGTGTCAAATTTTTTTGAGCTGATTTTGACAATTGCAATGTACTGAATTCAATAAGGTCAATGAAGTCAAAATTTTGATTTGTCGCCACATGCAATTCACTTGTATCTACATTTACAAATGTTTATGCTCATCAACTTTTGGATCATTTAGGATTAGACAATGACATTTTTCCTCTAAAATCCGATTCCATATGAGAAATACTAAAATAAATCAATTGCTAATACCAAAAAATGTAATCGCTTTAGTGGCAAAATCTATTTTTTTTAACTTGAGTTGGCAAAAAAACCTGACCTGATACAGAAAAGGATATGTCATTTTTGGATTTAGCATTGCAAAAATGTCCTAAATCAGTTTTAAAAAATCGTAACTATTTATGGGGAAATTAAGGGAGTGGTGTTTGTATTCTTTTTCCCCCCTTTTTGCTGTGTACAGCAGTTTGTGTTACATTTTATTTGATGAAAAGTGATATACAAGTTAGGTCTAATCGATATTTTTGCACAGGATTCTATTACAAATAAACAGCTCCAAACTAACTGTAATTAAAATTAGCTAAATATACTTTTTTGCAAGTTTTTCTTTAACAAACCCTCAGTCTTTCTTGAACAGCTCAACACTGACTTTACTGAATACAAGTTTGACTATTTCACTTGTGATTTTACATAAATCTGAGTTAAACCTGATAAATAATGCAGCAGTATTAGAAAATACAGTCAATATTGCAATATAGTCCTGCCACAGTCAAAAGTCAACTTTCAACTCACTATAGTGAACAATGAATGCCTGAGGATGTAATATTTTCCAGTTATCTGAGCTTCTGTCCTGCCTCCTCCTTGCATTGTTAACAGGTCAACTATGAAGGGTTGAGAGAGACAACAGCTTCCGAAGACATTTCCTGGAGCCAGAAAGACATCAGTCACCTAATACGAGAGTTTGCAGAGTGAAAACTGTGTTAAAAGATGTTTCTGTTAGGATCTATCTGCTCAGATTTGTGTCAGCTTTAGAGATTCATCTGTTGGCCTGTTAATCCAGGTGTGTGTCAGAGTCCCTGCTTCTTTGGATCGATGAGAAAGTTCAAAAATAAATGTATCATCATGATTTAAGACACACATCAGTTTTTGTGCTATTTTTAGAAAATGGAAGGCTCTGACTTCCAGGAGGTGAATGAAAGGAGAGCAGACAGTAGTAACATCTGACTTAGCACATAAGCACATTAATAGGTTTAGACCGTCTTTAGGCATTAAAGGTTCAATCCGCTGATTATACACAGGAAGTTCACTTAACTCATCACGGGGAGAACACCTCAGCCTGTAAAAGCACAGACTTTCCCTGTCATTATGAGAATCGTTTAATGCAACACCTATGCAGAAAGCACAGAAAAACTGCACAAGTACTATGGAGAGAAAAGATCCTGCACTGACAGAGAAATAGTTTGAAGAGTTTCAGTCAGGATTTAGAATGCATCATAGGACAGAGACAGCACTGGTGAAGGTCACTAATGATCTTCTTATAGCTTCAGACAGTGGACGAGTTTCTATACTTGTTCTGCTGGATCTCAGTGCTACATTTGATACAGTGGATTGCAGCATCTTATTACAGAGACTGGAATGTTTAACTCGGCTTAAAGGAACTGCACTAAATTGGTTTAAATCATATTTATCAGACAGATTCCAGTTTGTTCATGTTAATGATGATTCTTCCACCCACAGCAGAGTAAGTTATGGAGTTCCACAGGGTTCTGTGTTAGGACCTATATCATTTACCTTGTACATGCGCCCCTTAGGCAATATTATTAGGAAACACTGCATAAATTTCCACTGTTATGCAGACGACACCTAGTTATATTTATTTATGAAGCCAAATGAAACCATCAGTTGGTGACTCCAGACATGTCTGAAGGACAGAAAGGCCTAGATGACCTGTAAGTTCCTTCATTTAAATTCAGACAAAACTGAAGTTATCGTATTTGGCCCCAAACACCTCAGAAACGCACTATTGAACCAGATAGCTACTCTAGATGGCATTGCCTTGGCCTCCAGTTCTACTGGAAATAACCTTGGAGTTATTTTTGACCAGGACATGTCGTTCAATAGCCATACAAAGCAAGTTTGTAGGACAGTCTTCTTTCATCTACGTAATATTGCAAAAATCAGGAATATCCTGTCTCAGAGTGATGCTGAGAAAATGGTCCATGTATTTATAACTTCTAGACTGGACTACTGTAATTTCTTATTATCAGGATGTCCCAATAACTCTTTCAAAAACCTTCAGCTGATCCAAAATGCTGCATCCAGGGTTCTAACGTGAACCAGTAAGAGAGATCATATTTCTCCTGTGTTAGCTTCTCTTTTTGTGGCTCCCTGTAAAATCCAGGATAGAATTTAAAATCCTGCTTTTTAACATATAAAACTCTCAATGACCGAGCTCCTTTTTACCTTAAAAACCTTACTGTACCGTATCATCCTAACAGAGCCCTTCGCTCGCAGACTGCAGGTCTACTTGTGGTTCCCAGAGTTTCCAGAAGTAGAATGGGAGCCTTCAGTTATCAGGCTACTCTCTTGTGGAATCAGCTCCCAGTTTTGGTTCGGGAGGCAG